AGCCATCGCTACGGCTGATTTGCGTATTTGGCATGCTTTTATTGATATGCCAGGTAGCAATAATGACATCAATGTGCTAGATGCGTCACCATTAATTGACGAGTACATAGATGATAGTTTGCCTAAATTTTCGTACGAAATATGTGGCTCTACCTACGACTTTTTTTTTTTTAACTATTTAGCGGACGGGATCTATCCAGATTGGAAATGTTTTGTAAAAACCATCTCGGCACCCGTAGACGAGAAACAGCAGAAATTTGCATCGTGCCAGGGAGCATTTCGTAAGGATGTGAAACGTGCATTTGGAGTCTTACAATCTTGGTTTGCAGTTGTGGCTAGACCTGCACGGTGTTGATCCTTAGAAAAACTGAAGAAAATCATGTAGTGGTGCATTATACTCCACAACATGATCATTAGTGATGATCTTGCAAGTGGCCAGAACACTTCCCATTCTGTGTACTCGTACACAGCTTCTCGATCTGGATATTAACGTCACAAATTTCAACATCTTCCTATTCACGCATCAGACGGGTTGCCTACTTCGTTTATTGAGAAGTACAGATGTGTGATGAATTCCGCCTCTCCCTTTAAGCTAAAAACGGATTTGGTTCAGCACATTGCATCTAGATACTAAAGAGAAAAATATATTCACCTTGTTTTATTCTTCCGTCAGCGTTTGTTTCTTCATCTGCTCTAATACTTGTTTTTGCTTCAGTAAGAGATACTCTTTGCCAAATTCTGAGAGCCCTTCTGTCGTTGCGCACATCATTGACATTTCAGCTTGTTCTTTCAACGACCTCTGTTGATTTTCCACCAGCTCCACCTTTCCTTTTGCTATCTGGAGCTGCTCTTTTAGGATTTCCACTTGTGCTGTAGTTGCTGCGGCCAATCCACGTTGCGAGTACATTATAGCTTTGTCGACTTGTCCTTCTAAGTGAAGTTGCTTCGCTTTCTTTTTCCCTGCGGACGCAGGACGTGCAAAAGACTGACTACCAGTAGGAGGCTGAAAGACATCAGCAGGAAGAGCAGGATCGTCATCACCAGTGAGTGAGTCAAACTCCGCAGTGTCACTAGAGGTATTCACATCTACACGTAAGATAAATAAATAAATAAATATATAGTGACAAAAACTAAAATGATAAACCATAGTGCACCTTCAGCACCCTGCTCGTGCACCACTGCTTCATTCTCTAGGCGAGTTCGTTTACGGGGGCGTGGAATGTCGCGCATAAAGCGAGCGTTTCCTTTTAGAAAATCGTAACAATGGTGCAGACGAACAGCTTCAGCCCGAAGGCGCGGCTTTCTCTTGCTTTTGGCACGACCAGACTTCACAGCGTTCTCATGTTCACGTAATGCGTTAGCATTTAACTGCTCTCGCTTTGCTGTAAAGCGATTGGCAGCTTCGTCCGAATATTCTTTGTCTGTCCAGCCACTGTGTGCTTCAATTCGAACCTGTAGATGCAATACGTGTGAAGCGCCAGTGCACATTAATTTGTATACAATGAGACTATGGCATGTACCACGGCCACGCAGGAGGCATAAAGGGCAACATCAGGTCTACTAAGCCCGGCCCATCGGCTTTGCAGAGCCCCTATTTTTCTTGTAGTTGCGCTTTCTTCTCCTAGCTGAGTGTACGTCTGATGAATTCGGTCCCAAAAATGTGTCGCGTCCTGATCGGTGCTGACGCAACCATCCTCTGAAATGTTGGTGTAGGCTCTGCAGAGGCGGATGTCCTGTTCGTGACTCCATGGAGTTGCGTTGGGCATCGACCTACCGTCTTCGGGATTGGAGATGGGAGTTTCAGTGCGGTGAATTTTGTAGTGTTGCGAAGTGAATAGGAGCTTTCGTAGTGAACGATCAATTTCGTGTGGTTACTCAATCGTTACTTTTGGCCCCTATCAATTCGCCGTTGGGGGTCCATTTTTTGCAATAGCTCACTTCATGTGTAATTTTGCGTAACTATCAATACCGTTGGAGGTGCTCTTACTATTGGAGACGATTGATGAGCTCGTTACTGGTGTTTCTCCCTGTTTTGCTCTCCTATTGCCACCACACCAAGATACCCTCCAGCCAGTCCGCCTCACAGTCACTAACACACTCAACGACTGTTGTACAAAAAGGCTAGCACCATGACACATCCCTGATTTGTCCCCAACTAAGCTAGATTCACGGCCCTCCTCTGATTCCATGACATGGTAGCTATTAAGGCGCAGAAAGTCGCTGGAGCCACCTCCGGTCTCGCAGTTTGGCCACAAAATCACGGCACACGCTGCGCCATCCTAAACTCGACATGTTCTTTGCCAGTTGGATCCCCTGGTGTAAAGATAAGGGTATACCATTGGCGGGTGAGAGGGAATAATATCAAGGGTTTGTAAGTAACTGACCGCTAAGTTATTGCTGTCGAGGGAGTATTCCAAGCATATCTAGGGGATTAAGACCCGAGGGGATCGTCGGTGCATGTATCGTGAATTGCACGATGGGACCATGGTATAGGGAGATACGCAAAATATACTTTCAAAAACAGATTCAGTCAAAGCACACTCCCCGAACTTCGTGCATTGTATTTTTTTTCTTATGGCCAGCATGTTTATCCTATAAGCCGTGTTGGAAAATGCACTTGCCTTTCAAATCGTAACCTCTCAGCTAATGTGGTAAATGCTTTCGCATTTTCACGACAACGCACAGTCATATACGCAGCACACTGTAATGGGTACGCTAAGAGACCTCTTGCGCAAGCCGCGCGCACCACAGTTTAGCTCCGGATATTTATTTTGTATGAATAGTCACTCTCATGAAAACTTGCGCCGGCGCTTCACAAACGCAATCACCTGTACACGTAAGCCAAATCTTCAAACCGCTTCCACAGAAAACCTCATGATGGGTTATTCGTGGACCACGCTTATGACACCACTTATAAGCCTCCATCTGTTTTATTCTGCTTTATAATAAAAGGGCTGTCCTTGAAGTTTGTTTGTTTTCACTACGACAGTTTTAACATTGTCTGGTGTCGTGATTCCGGGTACAGGAAGCCCTTGCATTGCAAGTTGCAACTCCTGTAAGAGTCTTAAATTTAAAAAAAAAGAATCGCTTGAAGCGTTCATTCGTCAAGTTGTGAAGTTCGGCAACATGTGCTGGTATTGCTTGGGATTTGACATGCCGCAAACGTATAATTTGATAATTCGAAGTAAATTATAATAAGGAAACCTACATGAGCTAACATCGTGCACATTCATCGAGCTCACAGAGAGTGTAAGCCTCAGAACCTCACGCACCATAATTTCGATCTCGTCTCTACATGTACAATCTCTTTAATTAATCTTGTTCTCCGAATTTTTATTTCTACGGTACATTTACGAATACGTACATGTATCCGGAATCGTAAGCATCATGGGACTACGACTGCTGTAGCATTTTGCAGGGGCTTGCTCTTGTCGGAGTTCAATTCATTCCGCGATTCGCTCCGCAGCTGACAAGTCGCTCGCGAACACCTAAAGTTTCCGCACTGTTTTCTAGACTGACTACAAAGAAGTATGCGGCTTATATACATCCTCGGCATTGTACTTGCGGCCACTCTTCACGCCAGCAGCTCAGCGATTCCTGCGACCAAAGGCCATAGCACTATGCTCGGACACGGAGTTTCTCCTGATGCTGTCGATTCGGTCCACAGAGATGGAGGACGGTTGCTGCGTCGAGTCGAGAAACCAGCATCGGACGGAGTTGGAATCCAAGAAGAAAGAATGTTTGGGGGGCTCACCAGGTTTTTCCAGAAATTGCGCTATGCTGGCAAGCTGCCAGTGACGAGTGCCGGAAAGAGCAAGCTTTACAGGCAGGTGGCCGAATCTCTGAGGAAGACACAGCGTAATCGCTAACAGCAAGATGGATACTACAGTGTAGTTATGCCTGCTAGGTTTTGATTTACTTCGACACTTTTCCCATGGTTGATTTTTTTTTAATGGAACTAGCACTTGCCGCCAAACCCGATAAATTGTACTCGTACTTGTTCATCGAGGACGAAATTGGTAAGAAGACAAAAGAAAAATGTTGATACTTGCACAAAATGCAGCAAGGGATATCGCTGAATCATCAATAAAATCGGTAAACTTTTCCGTAGTACTGTAACCAAATACACAGTTCTAGAAAAAGACAGCCCGACGATTTCCATTTGAGTCCTGCCTAACTGCGGGTGCAGTCACGTCTTCCTGGTCTTGCAGTCGGTGGCTCGCTACTGAAATATCTCCACCGGCGATTAGTTGAGTAAACGCCAGCGGGTCGTGGTCCATCGCATCGATGAGTCTCGGGAACTTCGTCAATACAAGCTCCGTCAGCAATTGCTCAGCGTCACCCATGCGTCTTTGCATCACATATTGGTGAAGCTGACGACTCAGTGAGCCCGGGGGCAAGGCCTTGAGTCCGTTCGCGGCTGTTAGCGCCGGATCCGGGTCAGGATCCGGATCACGACCACTTGCACCTCGTGTCTCCCGCATATACTTTTGCAGCAGTGCAGCCTCCTGCAATTCGTCTGCTGAGTAAATGTAGATTCCAGCCTCAAATCCATTGACTTCTTGCAACAGCGACGCTTGTTCTCGCGCCGATAGCGTATTAGTCAAATCGGCCACAGGTTCGGCTGGTACGCACTGTGGCAAGGCAGACGCTGACGTCGACGACAACCTGTCACCTTCCTGGTCGTCGTTGTCAGTGAACGACAACGAGCGCATGTCTAACGCACGTTGCGCAGCCGCAGAAAAATTGCTGGGCATGCCTTCACGTCTTCCTGCATTATTTGACGTTGGTGCGCCAACTACTGATGGTTCTGGAAAGTGGCTGGCCTCACTTGGTGTGAGTTCGAACGCAAGTTCTGTGGCACTAAGCTGCGTCGATGGGCGTACGTCGTGCAGTGTACTAAACGCCGATGACGGTGCAGACATCGCCATTGCTGGCAGCGAAGACCTTGTGTCGCTCAGATGGTAGTTTTGCGTACCGTCACTACTGGGACGTCGCCGATCAGCGCCACGATTGTGTGTATGGTATTCCTGTTGGTACGACGCACGCGTAGCGAAAGTGTTGTTACGTGGCATAGAAGGCCTCCGTTGCAACGTGCCGTTGATGATACCATACGCAGACTGGGCACCAAGCACGTGAATCCATCCCACCAAGTCCTGTTCAGACTGAGCACCGAAATAATATGTGCGCTGACCAGCACTAGGAGGAACCACCTTGAAGAAGTGCAAGCACTTGTTCCTTGCGTTCACCTCATGAGGTTCACATATCTCCACAGTAATACGCCGCAAATTTACAACACCGAGAGGCGTAGCGTCCGACATTCCATGGTAATACATCATCTTTCCCTCGCGCGCCACAAACCATCGCTTCTTCCAGTTCTTGACGAAACCTCCCTGTTTATACAGCCAGCCCTGCATGGTAGGTGTCGATTCCTCCGGTCTCAATGACGCTTGACGTTGGATCTGCTTATCATAGTAGGGCTGAGACGGCACCGTCATACGACGCGGTTGTGGCGCTGACTGCGGTCGCACCGTCCGATTCTGCTCACCTTCATCGTCACGAATGCTGCTACTGCTGTCTGACTGCAAAACCGAAGACGAAGAAGAAGATTTTGGGGGGAACGGATTTCCATTCGAATCCAGCATCTCCACGTAACAGACCACCTGGAAATTATCCGGATAGCGTTGATTACCGGTGGCCTCATCCACTTCGACCTTCGGAAGGCGATACAAGTTGCTCTGTTGATCAAATAATAAATAATCAGATGCATTAGTACGTCGTATTATTAATCGTAGTAACAGCGTAACGATACTTACGTAATTGTGGAAAAAGTCGGTGTTGAATGTGAAATGGAACATCTTGACCATGTGTTTGCCCAAAATGTTGGTCGTGTTGGCATGGAAACACCTCACCATCACGTCGCCCTGCACCTCTGCGTTCACCTGTAATAATGCATCATTTTTATCAGGAAAAACACCTCACATCTCTCCCTCAAATAATTGCCACGTACCTCAAACATGATCGATCCGTTTGGGTCCGCCATGTACGTCTCGAATTTGGGTCTTTGCCACGAGCTATTGTAGAGCAAATGCGGCTGATAGTGTTGCGACGGCGCCGGCAAAACCTGTAGAAATGGGGTGCATCCTCCTCTCGGTGGGGCCTCAAAGTCGGGCACTCCATTGAGTACAATACTCCTAAGCAACATCTTCTTGGCCGGTCGCAGTGGCGGGATCTGCGCGGGCATACGCCCCAGTCGACGTAGCACTTTGATAAAGTAATAAATATACAGTGCTTGACTGGGGAAGCGCACACCTTGGCCTCGAGCGTTCCAGAAGTCGCGGATACTCGAGTTGGCCAGCTCTCGGAGCTCTCGCTCCTTGCGCAACTTAAAGACGCTGCCGTAGTAGCCCGTAAGTAGCAAATAACACGAGCACACGACGCCTGTGCGGCCTTTTCCGGCCAAACAATGCACCACAATGACGTGTTTGGGACTTTTGGCCACCCACTCGATCATGTCGTTCATAATGTCCAATAGAAGCTGTAGAGGCGGCGGATGGTGGTCTGGGAAGCCACATTCACTAACACGTCCTTCGAACTTGCTGTAGTCGTACGAGCGCTCGCTCAGATTGTAGACGCGGTAGGCGTTCGGGTGTCGTGAGTTGAGGAAGTTCGCGACCTCATTGATGTCATTACGGTACGTCTTCTCGACGCCCGAGGCTGGGTAGCCCATAGCAATGAGCTTGGGCGTGATGTACGTGAGGTCCAGGTCGAACCCGTCCTGCATGAAGCGCACACGCGAGCCGGACACGGCAGCACGCAGCGCCTTCATGGTGATCGAGGAGGTACTGACGGCGAGTCGCCGAATTGGGCAATGAACCTATGGGCTTGATCCTCCTCTAGCGCCCAGAACGACCAGAAAAAAGACATAATTGTGTACAGTTGACCTGAAAAGGAACACATAAAACTTGATTGGCCAATTTTGCTGGGCGATTGCAAACTTTTGCAAAATGAGACGGACGAGAATTTAAGGGCGAGAGTCCATTGTCTTTTTTTATGGAGAAAAAATCCACTGGATCCACTTGGCGGTGACGTGGCGTGCAGCAAACACAATGGCCGTGGAGGTGGTCATCATCAATTACAGCGCTGCCATTAGATGCTTTGATCCGCGAATGATGGAAGGCAAAGTGTAGGTGCATTCGCCTGCATGTACTTCGACTAACACAATTGTAATAACGCGATGTTTGTCTGAAATGAACTGAAGCGAGTATTAATACAATTTTAACCAGTTGATCTTATTTTCTCTCTGATTCGTCAATAATTGGTCACATCTACCATCATTCTCGTTCACAAAACTTAACGATGCCGGTGATGGCGACGTCTTCCTCAGCCGCCGGCAACGCGTCTATGCGGGGCCCTACCGGTCTCTTAAACATGCTGTCTCATCAATTACACCCTAAGTCTCTCCCTCCCGCTCCAAACGCCGCAATTTCGGTCTCTGCCGCTTCTCTGAAAGCTCCAGAACGCCACCGACATGACTCCACAATGATACAATCGATCTCCCAGTCGTTTAAGCCTTTTGTCGCTCCGTTCCAGCGCTTTCCAGCCTCCCGATACTTATGCAAACAAGTATACCAGTCGCCGATGCACTCGCGGGCGCTGCAGCGCCAACACTCCGTGATTGCAATGGACTTGGCTGCCCCCCGGCACAATCGACAGGTCCTGCTCTCGAGCTTCTCCAAGGCATCGGTGACGGAGTGGTAATTAAGCTCTGCAATAGAGTGCAACAACTGCTGTACTTATTGTATACTCTGCTGTTGCGTTTGTAGGCAATTGGAGCATATCGGACGCGTGATGGCCACGCTGGAGAGGCAGCCGGGAGTGTTCCAGAGGTTACTGCAGATCTGGGATGCAGGTACTAGTTGGGTACTGGTGCAAGACCTACAACCGGGCTGGGTGGCCTTGAGAGAGAGGTTTAACGACCCAGCGACTTTTACAGAGGACAAATTGAGGCGCGTGGTGTTTCAAGTGGCTGCGGTCGTGCATTTCCTGCACAGACACGGACTCAGCTTGGCCGGCGAACTGGTGCACTACGACTTGGTGGTTAGTATTGCTAACAGACTGGTGCAAAGGGAAGCTTTTATCGACGGATATGCGCGTACTTCGGTGTAGATAGCGAACGAACAAGTGACGCTGTTGCTGCACTTGGATTTGATCCTGAGTGGATGCACTCTTGTGCCTGCGACGCAAAGGAATCAAGATGCAGACATGTACGTGAGCTGTATGGATCTCCTTTGATTTTGCTGCTGTAATTTTGATCCGTGACAGTATTCGGTTTGCAACTCGCTGCCAGCGCGGCAATTGGCATGCTCATGTTTCAGATCGCTATGATGCCTCGCTCACCGAATGAAGAAGTAGATATCCGCTACGTGGAAGGAACTATCGAAGATCAGCTGGAGCACCTGTCGCCTGCATGCCGTGATCTGCTGGTTGAATGTCTGAGTACGTGATCCCCTTGTTGCTGGACTTGTCTGTTTGACTAACACGGATCCATAATAGCTATGAAACTTAGCGCTCAGGATCTGCTGACGCGCAAATGGTTGCGTCAAGTGGATTTCCTTCACACAACGAACAAGATGACTGTAGCTTTGACGACCTCGGAGGCACGGCAAGCGTTTTACAGATCATGGCTATGGAAGTTGGCTGCGCTCTGCATGATGGATTGGCTCAGGCACATTCATGAAGCTCCTGAAGTGAAGAGAACTGAGGAAGAAGAAGAAACAGAAAGCTCACGCCAGCGCAACCGGGTGAGTTTTGTTTTATAACTGCTATCAGTCCCATTTGATAGCCTTCTAACGCAAGTTTTGTACCTGCAGAGACCAACGCGCCGCATATACACTCGATCGAGACTCTACGTTCCGAACGGCGTGCTGCGAAGAGGACCGATCCCCGTGCCCGTACCAGCGGGGCATTCGCTTCGTCCTCAAGACGACAGTGATCATAAAGAGCAGCGTCGACATCTATATACACTCCCAACAGACCATAATCTACCCGAAGACGGAGAGTTTAAAATCTGGAGAACCTACGACGAATTCGACTACGACTTTCCGAGCTTTTATGCTCCCCCCAGGACGGTGACGTACGATAACTTTGAAGTTGATGATGACATCGAACGCTTATCAGAAGAAGACAGCGAAGGTGGGTTTATATCACTCCCGACTGACGAGAAGCGGTCGTCACTGTCGAGTGTCCATGACGGTGATGAGGTCCGAACACTACAGAGAGAAGTTGTTCGCTCGCTACAACATGAACCACCAGACAAACGGGACGAAAACTCAAGTGAAATGCAGACAGTTTATGATGATGTGTTTAAGCAACGAAGAAGTTCAACTGCAAGCGATCAGGCGATATTTGGATACGACAGGAACGCCTCACATGATGCTGTTCACTTCAGTGCTTTTGGACCACCACAAGCTGCACTATGTGACTTCTTCCGGATCGATATTTGGGCATATTTGAAGCAGCAGCGTGAGTCGATGCTGGAGATGGCTCTTGAACACAGTGACGTTGAGAGTGGACAGCGTGTTCAGCCGCTTCATATTCAACGAGGCACGTTAGTCACCGTGTCAATTGAGCCAAGTGCGCAGTTCGGTATAAAGGGCGACGATTGCAAGTCGTTCCGATGGCACGGAGATATTGTCGGTGTATCGTTTGATCTGCACCGCATCTCGACTAGATCAGAAGACGACAACGAGACCGATGAGCTTTGTATCGCTAAGATCGTGGCTGGAACCAAGGTATCGCTGCTGTATATCCGACTTCATGCGGCTCCAATTCACTCCTACAACGGCGCTGCAGTGGGTATGACCGGCTCGTCCGATCTTTCTCTCTTGGATACTCAAATGGAGCACGTAGCTCCAAACGTTGTGGACATTCCAGAAGAAGATCTGGAACTCATTCGACCAATCGGTCACGGGTCCTTCGGTGATGCAGTTCTTGCTCGCTGGAAAAGCACATCGCAAGATGTGGTAGTCAAAATGATGAGCCACGATGTGTACGGCAATACTGACGCACTCGCTGAGTTCCAGCACGAAGCAGCTGTGATGAATCTACTTGGAAAACACCCGCACGTGGTCGAACTCCTCGGTATAAGCAGCACCGGAGCAGATAAAGGCTCTCCTGACTCACAAAACCTCTCTCTGGTGACCGAGTATCTACCGAACGGCAGCTTGGAGGATGTCTTGGGTATCAACGCACACTCTGAAACTTTACCAAGTCCCGTAAGCTTTTTTTCCCGTACGGTGATGGCTCGGGACGCAGCTCACGGCCTGGCGAACATTCACCAAGGCAATTTCTTACACCGAGATATCGCAGCTCGGAACTGTTTAGTGGACGCCGATTTCAGCGTCAAAGTGTGCGATTTCGGATTATCTCGACGACTACGTGGGTCTATTGGTTCTCAGAGTTCGTTCTTGTTTGACGATGATCGACACGGATTCGGTCCGCTCAAGTGGATGGCGCCTGAGTCCATAACACCTCCGTATTTGTTCTCGACGTACTCGGACTCGTACATGTTTGGCGTACTGCTTTACGAGATTTTCAGTGGCCAACCTCCATTCCCGAATTTAACGGCACGAGACGCTGCAGCTCTGATCTTAGAAGGTCACCACGTCCCCATCCCGCACTCCTTGCCAACTGCGCACCGCCAATTGATGGAGCAATGCTTTGACGTGCATCCATTGCGTCGTCCATCAATGGACGAGATCTACACGACGCTGGATCAATGGGTTCTGCAAGACACAAAAACCCAAGTTAGATGGGTGCGTTAAATTGCTTCAGGCACAAAAAACCATGTTTGGTGGGTGGGTTAAAATGCTTCTACAGTGGGTGAAATATTCCAATAGGGTGGCGAGTTCCGTTGAAGTGGCGCACATTAGATCGCAAGAGTGACATGAACGGTCGTTGACGAGCAGGCGCGAGGAGTTATTGAGGATCTTTGGAGTCCCTCAGTAGCATTTTTACCGTCAAACAGGGCGATAAAGACACAGATTGAGGACAAAAAATGAAGACGTCGTGGACTGCGTTGGTGGTAGGCGCTATAGCGCTCATGGACTCTGTGGATGCTACGTGCAAGTCTTCGTGCCAGTCGCAGCTCGTGCACTACCGTGAGGAAGCGTGTCAGAAGTGGCGCGAGAGGCTGCCACGTCCGGATCTGTTCAACCACTGCGGTCAGGGATTTAACAAGGGCAAGACTGCAGGATGTGAAGGATTCTGCAAGGAGGTTCCTGATATGGGAGTCATGAAGTCGCTGCGTTTGGATGCTTGCACGTCGTTGAAGGGTGTTCCACCGAGCGAGCGCCAACAAGCGTGCCAGGCTGGCTTCTCTGCTGCCTTAGAACTAGCGAAAGATGCAGCTGAGCCTGACTTAGACAAAGAGACAGCGAATGCTGCTGCGGATGCGAACGATCAGAGCAGTCAAGCCACAGCGACGGATGCTGGAACGGCACGCAAACTTGAAGAGTCTGGTGACACGAAGAGAAAGGTCAACGTCAAGAAAATTATCCCCGAACCAGACCGCAGAGTACGCTGCTTGATATTCTACAATACGTTTCACAGTTTTGTTTCTAATTGTGCTTGTTGTGGCTGTAGAACATGCTGGAGGATGCCCGCAAAGAGGCAGAGGCTGCTTTCGCGAGCGTACAGGAGAATAAGGCAGAGCTCTAAAATGTAGTCGACTTCAAGCATCGATAGTGCAGCTGCAGTCGGCATTTCAGTTAGAGCTCCTTATCGTAGAGCTTCTGCTTCATTTCATAATATCAAAGCAACCAACTTTCAGTGGTTTCCATTAGGGTATTTGTACAATATTTAGAACAAATTACAGCACGACACGCCATACTAGCTTTCCTAAATCTAGACGCTTCTAATTAGAAGTTGAGTTCGTAGGTCTCGCAATGCTGTAGCGAGCCCAATACACCCGTTGTGACGCCCAGGAAATGAAGTCGACGGCGCATTAAGGCACCGGCAAATGAGTCAGGAAGCGGAGTCGAACCCAGCCCAACCATACATTCGATTGTGAACTGTTGACGAGATGACTTAGTTGGTGTCCGCTTCTGTCGCGGTACCATGTGCGTAGGGAACGTGTTATAGAGATTCTGTCGGCGTGCTGTGGCGACACCGTCAACGCCTGACGGATACGGATCCACCAATGCCTTACCGTTCACGTACAGCATTTCAGGATTGCTGTCATCTACAGGCATGTACTGGAGAATACTACCACATAGGGTATCCGGATGCTCCTTCATGTCCTTATTAGGGGACGATGACACCACACTGACACCCCAAGGCGAGAAGAAATACGGCACATGCGCTATCTCCATACTGAGCCAGAAAGTCTCCTTGTCACCGAACGAGAACATATAACGGAATCGTTCCTCCGTAATGAACCAGAGCATAACATCCATCGCCGCTTGACCAACACGTTCCTTGTCGATTAATACAAGCGACGAGTCCATTTCGTGACAAGTATTGTTGTTGTATGCAAACGACTTCAATGCGTTTTCGGACGGCTTGGCCTCTCCTGTAATGTTGAATCGTTTGTAGTCGAACGTCGAGATCAGTTTGTCCATATACTGCAAGCTGCCGTCCATACCGCTCATAAACTTCCGGCAGTTCTTCACCACACGGTCATAGAAAAACGTCGTGCCTGTGGTCATGTATCCTTCCAGATCGCGCAAGAGAGCAGGGTTCTTAACGAAAATGTCGTCCACATCCACTAGCATCACATGACGAATATCCGTGTGATACATGGCTAGAGGTTTGATCCACCAGCTCCGGAACTGCGTCGCCATCTTGTCGTCCATCACGCCACGTTCGACTAGATCAGAACATACGTCTACCAACTCCAGTCTATCGTCAGCACTTAATAACAGTTCCTGGGATGTGTTAGACAGTTCTTGTTGGCCACAATGGTACACTTGGATCAACTCCCGGTTGCCCAAACATCGGAGCTCACGGACGAGTGAAAGCCCCAATGGCAGTACGCCATCGTGCATACAGGTCACCACTCCGCGGTCGCGTCCTACAGTCTCGTCGAAACTGGAACTGCGTTTATACCATTGCGAGTTCGGATGTGATATATTGACTGGAAGGTTGGCAGCCAGGAACGTTGTCGAGCTGCTGACGGACGCGACGCTGTTACCAGTGCCGAAATCGACGCCGTTGACAACGACTGTCATTACCACCATGGTGGTCACCGCTGCGAGCACCAGCACGGGCATGCAGGCCAATAGTTTGCGGGAAACTGGAGGTGACGATATTGACGATCTGGAACCGGAAAGCAGGCGTGCGGCCTCGACGTCCGACGGAGAAGTAGTTGAGTCTGGCATAGCGAAGACCAGTTTGACAATGGGATCTGCTATTTGCTCTCGCTGTGGAATTTTGTCGACTGAAGCGATTGATCAGATGCGGGAGATATGCGAGGATCGATCGTTGAGCAATCGCTGTCCATGTACCACAGCTTCAGATTTGGTAGGCACACGTACACAAAGCACATGGCCAGCTGGTACTCAGGTGAGACCGGACGGCTCTCTGAACGCCGTGAATCTCGCAGTGAGATGGCTGCTGCACGGTAGGGTTGTACAACTTACCTGTTGATCCGGAACAACACGAGGAATAGTCCGTCGCGGATGGGTATCTGATGAGAGGAAGGATGAAGTTCTCATACGAATGCGGCTGAGTAGACTACCAGTCAGGATCGTTTTAACATGTAAAACATGCCCTTCGAAGTAAATGCGATCAAAGTTTATTGAGATTGTTCCCCATCCTGGTAGAGTGTGCGATGGTAATACAGTCTGTATTACCACAGAAGAGTGTCGAAATTACAGACCATATTAAAAGTGGTGACACTCAATAAGGTGACTACAACCAAAGATGACAAACCTACATGCTGCAGCATGCGACTCGGTGATATTTACACAGACGAACACGTGTAGACTCTCGTTGCCGAATTAGAGTGTAGCATAGTTTTTCTGCTTGAGCGCTACCTTACACGTTATTTCGGAGTTGAGATGAATTAGCGGTTTGCTACTAAAGCACCTGGTATCACTGTTGTGATGCTATGGATGGAGTTGCAATGAAATTGCTGTCGCGCTCTTCTGGCCAGTGGTGGTGCCATTAGTAGTCAACACCAGTGCGCTTTGGAATCATGATACGGTAGTATTTTTTGACAAGAAAGGAGTACAGACCAAAAAATTTAAGTTTACAAAACATTTTCTTAAATTCATGTTTAGGGACAATGCTGTTGGACACGAGAGGTTCGTAAGCTGGAAACATTTCAATTCAAGACAACATGAACAGCTATTTTCAATATCAACATCTATTGCAGAAGAGGATTGGACATTTTCGCATCTTGTGGCCCTCATAAAGTGCTTGATGAGCTCGATAGACAATCCAGACGGTATTACTTTACTCAAGTTGGTATTCATCCCATGTTTACGAGCAGCTTCGAGTAACCTCACCGGTTACACCTCAAGTAGCCGACGCATTTCGTACGTTTCACAGTGCTGCAGTGCCCCTAATACTCCGGTTGTCACGCCCAAGTAAAATAATCGACGTCGTAATAAATGACCAGCAAACTCTTGAGGGAGCGGTACTCCACCCAGTCCGATGAGGCATTCGCTGAATAACTCCGGGTGGCTAGATTTGTTTAACTCTTGACGTTCCTGTCGCGGAGTCATGAGAGTGGGAAATGTGTTGAACATGTTGTTGGAGCGCATTTTGGTGATCTGGTCGACTCCTTCCGGGTACGGATCGAGCAACGCCTTACCATTGACATACAGCATTTCAGCATCAGGGCCACTATCGGGAAGATACTGCAGAATGCTGCCACACAACGAGTCAGGGTGTTTTTCAGCATCCTTATTGGGCGACGAAGATACAACACTGACACCCCAAGGCGAGAACGAATACGGCACATGCGCCATCTCGAACGATAACCAGAAAGTCTCTTTGTCCCCGAAAGAGTATCTGAATCGGAAACGCTCCTCGGTGATGAACCACAGCATAACGTCCATGACTGTTTGTCCGGCACGCTCCTTGTCAACCAACACAAGCGACGAGTCCATTTCGTGACAAGTTTTACCCGTGTACGCGAAAGATTCCAACACGTGCACCGATGGATTCTCACCTCCAGTCACGTTAAAGCGGTCGTAGGAAAAATTCGAGAACAGCTTTGGCAAGTACTTGCTGCCTTCGTCATCACCGTTAACAAACTCGTTGCAGTGCGAATGAACCCGGTCATAGAAGAACGTCGTGCCTGTCTTGTGATACTCTTCCAAGTCACGTAAAATCGCGGGGTTCTTGATAACAATATCATCGACGTCCATTAACATGACGTGGCGTACGTCGGTATGGTACACTGCAAGCGGCTTGATCCACCAATTCCGAAACTTGTCTGCCATTTTGTCGCTAATAACTTGGCGACTAGCAAGGTCTGAACAGACATCCACGATCTCCAGTCGGTTGTCGATGCTGAAGAGTAGCTCTATCGCGTCATACGAGAGTTCTTCGGGACCGCAGTGGTACACCTGGATGAGCTCCTTATTGCCGAGACACCGCAACTCACGGATAAGTGATACACCCAGTGCCAAGACGTTGTCATGCATACACAGGAGCACTGCGCGGTCTCTCTTGACTTTAACGTCGAACCGTTTACCACGCTGGTAGAACGACGAGTCCGGATGCGACGTCCCGGACACGTCGGCACTCTGCCGGAAGACAAACCGATGAAAAGCCCCCTTCCTACTCGTGTCCACGTAGCCAGCCATCACCGCTACCATGAGGATACCGGAGACAATGACAAGCGGCAGAAGCAGCAGCAACGGTCTCCGATACGGCGATGCAGGCGACACGGGCGTCTTAATGCCATTCAGCGGCTGCGTCTCGATGTCCTGGAGGTCGTCATCGATTTCGGTGGGGCGTGGAGTTGGTGGAACACTCGCCATGAGCAGAAGATGAAGCTCTGGGAATCAAGTCCCCGTTAAACTCGATGTACTCTGCCACAACCATACGATGGTCAGAGCCAGGGGGTGCTTCAAGTACGTCAGCAGCGTTTGCATCGACGTTAGACTCTATTGATACTTGATATGGACTATTACTTAGACTAGGTGGTTGACATCGGACTGCTCTAACAGTCGACGCACCTGGAACGTCTCGCAGTGTTCTAGTGAGCCGAGTACGCCAGTCTTGATACCTAAATAGTGGAGACGGCGGCGTAATAGCATTCCAGCGAATGTGGTGGGCAACGGCGTAGCTCCGAGACCGATGAGGCATTCGGTGTACATTTTTCCATGACCAGTTTTGTTCAGCTCCGTGCGTGGTTGGCGTGGCGTCATGTGGGTCGGGAACGTGTTGAACATGTTGTTCCACTGCGCCTTGGGCACGTAGTCGATACCCTGCGGGTACGGGTCTAGCAACGCCTTGCCGTTCACGTACAGCATCTCGGCATCTTTTGATGCAACAGGCATATACTGCAAGATACTGCCACAGAGTGAGTCTGGGTGCTTCGCCATGTCCTTATTGGGCGTCGACGAAACAACACTCACACCCCACGGAGAGAAGGAATACGGTACATGCGCCAACTCGAACGAGAGCCAGAATGTCTCCTTATCTCCATGGGAATATCTGAAGCGGAAACGCTCCTGGGTGATGAACCAGAACATGACGTCGAACACGGTTTGGCCCACGCGTTTCTTGTCGATTAGGACTAAGGAAGAATCCATTTCATGACACGTTTTGCCTCTGTAAGCGAATGAATCCAGCACTTGTTCGGACGGATCCTCGCCTTCCGTGATGTTAAACTTGTCGTAGTTAAAAGTTCGGAACAGTCTGGGCAGATATTTCTCCTTATTGTCAATATCGTTGACAAATTCCTTGCAATCGGCAAATACGCGGTCGTATAAGAACAACGTTCCCGTTTGTTTATATCCGTCCGCATCCCGCAGAACAATGGGGTTCTTAACGAAAATGTCGTCCACGTCCATCAGCATCACATGCCGCACGTCTGTGTGGTACATTGCCAACGGTTTAACCCACCAATTCTTGAATTTCTTAGCTGTTTCTTGAGTAAGGATCTTTTTGTCCGCCAAATCCGAGCACACGTCGACCAGTTCAATGCGGTTGTCGGATGCGAACAGAATGTTTCTCGACTTTACCGACAGTTCGTCCTGCCCGCAGTGATACACTTGGATCAGTTCCTCGTTACCCAGACACCTCAACTCTCGAATGAGTGATAAACCCATTGCCAATACGCCATTGTGCATGCAGATCATGATAGCACGGTCGCGCATGACGCTGCGGTCGAACCGCTCGCCGCGCTGATAGTAGGGCGAGTCCGGGTGGGGGATCACGATGTCGCCGTCCTCGGGTACACCACCGCTGCCATCGCTATTAAGAGAAGTCTTGAGCGAGCTGGACGTGGATAAGTCGAAGGTATTGCTGTTGTTATTGCTGAGATATCCCGTCGCAAGAGCGACAGCCGTCATACCGGCGACTACGAGCAGCGGTAACATGATCAGCAGCTTGCGGTGGCTGCGCGGCGGCGTCGCAACGACTCTACTGCCGTTGAGAGGCTGTGAGGCTTCCATGTCCCCTTCCAGATAGAGATCGTCGTCGATAGGTTCGGCTGCGCTGGACATGGCAAAAATGTTCGGAATGACCTCGCCACTATAATATGAGACTGTGGAAAAGTGAAAGTGGCGGTATTCTGTCAGCGAAGGTTCGAGCGTCGAAAGGCATTTGGGTTGAGTATTGATTAAAGAGCCGACTTAAGAACTTATACGGATGCCAGAGCTTATACACTATCATGATACGGAGGGAGTGATTGCGGTAAAACACAAACATCTCTACAAAACCGGGCCTAACTGTAAATTATGAGTTGTAACTTATCCATAACTTGTACAATATCACCCAAGTTGTTGCCATTTGTCAAGTGCATATGCCTAAGGTATCCATGTAGCCAGCATTTTAATGCTCCGATCACCACGCACTTTATGCTACGATCTCGCTTGTTCAGTGAGTTCTCCGTCGCCTACTGCTGGCTGAATCGACAGCACGACATCCAAATATGGACGAAGCATAATCCACGTTCACATTCCATCTCTCTCGATCGCAATGAGTTGAAATTTGTGGCTCGCATGCTGCGAAGCCAGCACGAAATAATGGTCTTCGATTTGCTCAAGATGTAGGATGCTGCTGGCATTGACACTGGCAAACAGGCTGTTTGAAACAGCGATCGATCATGCTCAGTGAGCATTGCTCATAGATGCAAGCAACGCAGGACGTGCGGCACATGTTGCTTCCAAGTATTATTAACTGTGCAAGACGGCGCTCGACGTTGGGATCTCTAAATGTCCACTAACTCACCAGCTTAGTATCTACACCATGCCCTCGAACGGGAAACATTGATCGAGCGCAGACAACACCCCCATGCGGATACCAAAGTAGAACATCCGTCGTCGCAATAACTGGGGTGCGAACTTTTCCGGCAGCGGCTCGGCGCCGAACCCCACGAGGCATTCCATGGCATAGCCGCCTTTCCAGCCCGAACGTGTCCGACCGTTGGGTTTGCGGCGCTGACGGGGCGTAAGGTGCGTTGGATTCGTGTTGAACAGCACGTTGTGTGTGGCAGTTCCCAGTTTGTCCATCGCCACGGGGAATGGATTCAGCATCGCCTTACCGTTCACATACAGGAACTTGGATGGCTGGTTTTCCTCGGGCATGTACTGCACGATACTACCACACAATGTGTCGCTGTGGTTCTCCAGATCGTTATTTGTAGACGACGAGATGCCGCCAACGCCCCAAGGAGAGAAGAAATACTCTTGCTGGGCCAGTTCAAATGAAATCCAAAACGTCTCCTTGTCACCGTAGGAGAATTCGCGTCGGAATCGCTCCTCCGTAATGAGCCAAAACATAATCGGCATGGCTTGACCGGAGCGAGACTTGTCAATTACAACGAGTGACGAGTCTTGCTCGTGAGATGTCATGCCGCGATACGCGTACGATCTCTTGAGTCCTTTCGATGGAGGAGCGCCCGATTCGAGTCCGTATTTGGCGTAGTCAAAGTCGTTCAGCATGCGTTTGAGGTATGAGGTACCGTTCACGTCCTGGTTGAAGAACTCGCGGCTAAAGAGCACGCGATCGTAGAAGAAAGTCGTCCCTGTCTTCTTGTAGCCCTCAGTTGTACGTAGTATAGCTGGATCGTGCATGAACACATCGTCAATATCCAGTAGCATGACCTCCGTGATGTCGGTATGATACATGGCCAGCGGTTTGATCCACCAGTTGCGAAACGCCTCTGCCACCTCTTGTGTTAAAACTTGTCTACCTACAAGGTCGGTGCACACGTCCACGATCTCTAAACGATTGTCAGCACCTAGAAGCAGCGCGCGGTTCTCTTCCGACATTTCTTCCGGAAAGCAGTGGTAGATCTGGACGAGTTCCTGATTGCCGAGACAGCGCAGCTCCCGCACGAGTGATAATCCCATGGGGACTGCGTCGTTATGCATGCACATGATGATGCCCTTGTCACGCTTGACGGTCGAGTCGAACTTGGCACCCTGCTGACTCGATGACGGCTTGTGCGTCGCTAGCTCCACAGTTGGTAGATCGTCATGAATAACAATCGGCTGCGGCTTCACCTCCAGGTTATTATTTTGACGTTGCTGTACATGTGATGATGGAGGCATTATGGCGTACATGACGATGACCACCAGAAAAAATGGCATCGCGTACGTCCATGCGCGACTCGAGCTGCGACTTGAAGTGGTGGGTGAGTGAACGGGGCGGCCAGCCTCCATTGCATCGGCATGGGATGTGTCGTTGCTGTTGCCGCCACCGCGACTAACCAACGTGCTGGAATCGTACATGAGCAAATGAAGTCTCACGTGTACTCGCCTGAGCCAGGAAGAGCAGGAATGACGCAGATGCTTGTCTTATCCCAGATGCCTTTTAGCGGGTAAACATCTCTTCAAGTTAATAAACGAATCAAATTTGAGATCCCAATTGATGTGCTGTTAAAATTAATTAGTTAATTTTATGTTAGTTTATAAAATTCAACCTTTTCCCTAATATTTGCATCAACGAAAAGCAAGCATCAGAGGCAGTTTCATTTTTTTTAAGTTTTGAAAAATGTTAATTTTAATTAACGCTGATAATTTATCGCGATAAAACGAAGTCTATTGATTTCAACATCAATTTTTTTTCGAGCATTACATTTGGTCGAAATGGCAATGCTAGGAAACGCTGCCACCGCGTTGGAAACAACGCTACTTGACACACTGGGATGCGGCCGTGTATAACAAAACTGGTCATCGTAGCAATAGTCTTGCTATTGATGGACGAAGATGACGTCTGGCTATAGGCTAAAAGCTATGGAAGCCGTCAAGTCATCGGTACCAGACTACTGGTACTACCAGTAGCCGCAATTCCCGATACATAACTACAAGTGATGTTGGCGGTGACTGTCCGCTTCGCCAGTAACAGAAGATGTGCTTTCCGTTTGAGAAGGGGCGTCAATGGACTGAGCGTTGCTAGAAGTGAAAGTGTAGCTAGTCTCCTGCACCGTGGTGTCACTCGAGGCAGTCGAGGCAGCGTTGGAAGCCGCTGAAGTTGTTGAGGCAGATCCACTCGCAGTCGTGGACGCCACGGTTGGTGTAGCCGTGGTCGAGGTGGTCAAGGTGCTAGTGCTAGACAAGGAGCTCGAGCCGTCGACGGCGTCCAGATCACCCACACCAAAATTTGCGCTCGACAGCGACAGCTTTCCGGCTGCCGACGGCTTGTATGCCTTGGCCACCGTCTGTGCTGTCGTCACGGCACTCTCCTCGTTCTGGCCCGTCAGCTCAGCGTCACTGCTCACCACGGTGTTCACGACACAATCACGCCCCAGAGCCGACTCGCAGTATGACTGTGTGTCACTCGCCGGTACCATGAAGGCGCCAGTGGCGTCGTCGTCCAATAGCACAGGCGCCGTGCACGTGTCCATGTAGTTACCTTCGGCCACCGTGTAAGACTCCTCGGTGGGGGCAAAATTGTGGCCCGAGTTGTTGTAAAAGTAGTTGTTGGCCGCATGCAGAATGGTGTTGCCACCCACCTTTGGCGAGCGGCCAGACGTCTGGTGAATGTAGTTGTTCACAAGACTTACTTGTGTCTCTGTTCCGTAGAAGAGCATGGTCCAGTAGTGGCGGTTGTCGCACGACGCCGAGTACTCCGTGTAGCCGTCGAAATCGCAGTTGCTGATGGTCATGCTTTTGACGCTGGCAGTATTAGTGGCGATCATTTGGCGGCCGATGCTGGAGATCTTGACGTGGTCGAGCCATACGTTCTCCAGCGAGGTTTCACCTCCGTCCGCCCCCTGGATGTAGATAGCATCGCCGCCCCAGATCAGGTGCGGATTGAGGTTTGTGATGTGGATGTTCTGCACGATGACATTGCTGCCGAGGATCCACAAGCCCTTGCCGATGATCACACCCGACGTACCGATACCACGGATGGTTTTGTTGCCCTGTACTTGCAGTGGATTCGGGCCAGCGTTGTCGTACGTCACCTCCACCGATACACCATCGGTGCAACCACCAGTGCCGGACATACCTCCGCTTTGCAGAATGACGTCCTGGCCCTTACAGCCGTTGTTCTTGGCGATACATTGCTGGTTTGAGAGCGGGCGGCATCCATCTTCCGTTGTGGTGCCTTCCGATCCGCGGTAGTCGAATTCCTGTTGCAGGATGATCACTCGCGTCTCGTCATCCGAAAGGTACGAGGTGAGCTCGTCGATGGTGGTCGGGTACACGGGATCGGTGTCACCTCCACCGGTGGCAGCAGAGGCAAGTCCCGGTGCGGTGCCAGTACTGATGGCTGCGGCGGTGTGCATGGCGAGCGCGAATGCAGCGATGAAGCCGCAGCGGAAGATCTTCATACTGCGTTGAAATTGCTTGGGCTGAGGTGCTTGTGAAGGTGTCGGTGAAATGCAAAATGAAAGGGAAAGCTTACTCAGACGTCCGGTACGTTTAAGGTGGAGTCTATCGGTATCGAGAACGCATGCTTAAACGCACTTATGCATACTGGTATTCATGGATTCAGTACAACACGAATAACTGAGCGTTGTTACAATGGTGCCCACGCATTCCACTAGTCGTTGAAATCGCTCGAAAACCAGGAGGGATATTGAATGAAGATATCTGGGCCACGTGCGAGATAGTTGTGGAGAAGTTACTCGTCGCTTGATGCCTACGACTGACGAATTTCATAGGCGCAACATTGCTGTTTGTGCTCGAGTGCATCAAACAGCCTGTCATGCGAGCAAAGGCGTTACATGCCAACGATTCCTTTATGTTCCCTGCTAGATACTGGAGTGCCCCGTGGATCACCAGAAGGCGCTACTACACCAGTTTTGAAACTTTTGCCCTGGATAACTCTAATGAAGAAAATAAGTAAACATGGATTTAATTTTGAGCTTGACATTTCATGTTACTTTTTTTAAATATACAAAACCTCCAGTAAAACTGATTGGGTTTCTGTCAATTGTGCTTGCATAAAAAACACAATACTGTGATAATAGTACTTGGAAATTTATCAACTTAAAAAAATAAGGGAATTTATGGACAGGGTTTTTGCTCAGAAAACCCAACTTTTGGAAAAGAACCCAGCGTCGAGATGCTGCTCCGGCTGCAGTGCCGCCCTCGACCGCTGCTGGCGCTCTCGAGGAGTTT